TTAAACCCCACCACTGTAATTAGCAGACATACAAAACAGAACAAAGAAACTGGAACATCAAAAATATTTTCATCACATATCCTTGGAAGTTTCTATCTTTGAAACCTTTCTCAAAACACTTAAATGCATATTTAATATATGTGACTACATATAATACATAAACCCAGGCTAATGCTTTTTAGTAGTAGAAGTTGGACTTTTCTGTGATCAATGGCTAATAAAATAATCTTTGTTTTATCAGCAAAGATAAAAAGAATAAGAGCCCCAAAGATGTTAAAGCAGACATCCTACACAGTGCTATGATGGGACTCGTTGAGAATTCCTCTTTATGGGGACTGAAGAAAAAAGGGAAGAGAAAAAGTCTTCAAGTGCTCTACTCACTGTCCCATCGAGAAGGAGGTATTTGGATGTTGTGGACAAGGAGCAATAATAGAAAGACAGAGCACAGATTTAAAAAAAAGTTCTTTCAGGGAGCCAGAAGTCAAGTCATCTAATCAAGGAGGGTAAAAGAAGAACTCTTTCTTCAGATCCCTTAAGTGTACTGCCCTGGACCACAGCTGCAGTTGGTGGCCGGACTTGTTTCATTCACTGTTATAAACATCCTCCCTGTATTCTCTGGTGCAGTAAATCACTTTGAGTTTAAGTGGGAGGAACTACAAAATTAATCTCCTGTCCTCTCTTCCAGTGCCGTGTAATCATGGGAAGCTCATCCTCCATTTCGGCAAGCTACATTCCCACCCTACCCTCTCTTCTGTGCAAATGTGGATGACAATAAATAATGGAATAGTTGCTCTGTAGCCATCATCATCTTCTAGATGTTACAAAAAAAAAAGCTTTTGGTGATGAGTCCCTGCCACCCCATATGGTACCCACTCACGCCATGAAATGGCAGACACATGAAGCACACAGGCTCCTGCAGTATACACCAGCAAACTTTGCAGGTCCCCCTGTAGCACAGGATGATGTATCATTCATCCAAGATGATATCTCTACAAAAGGGCCATGAGACATGAGAACAGACCAAAATACAAAGCTTTAGGTGCCATAATTCTCAACTGCTTTTGAGAGAAAAGGGGTGGTTTAGGGGAGTTTCTGAAGGAAAAGATCCAGAGGGGTGGATTCCCACCCAGAACAACGTCCCTTCTTCCTTGTGCTCTCTGGCATCCATCTTTTGAGTGGTGTGAAACAAGTACTTAGAAACACACAGGAACTTGGCATGATTTCAAATCCAGGTACAAATATTAAAAACTACTCCTCCTTTCCAAAAGATAGTTTGCATCAACACTTTGGCAACTAATTAACTTTGTCCATTTACATGGTTTTATTTTCAGACCTGGCAGATCAAGAATAGCAATGGGTATTTTGCCTTTAAGGTGAAACAACATTCCAAAGCCTTTGTTACCAAGGTCTTCTAAAATCTGCCCCATCTTGGCCTCCACATTCAGCCCATCATTAAATTTAGTCTTAGCTGAAGCAACAGAAGCTCTAAAGACAATTATGAGGATATCTTTTCTCTAGGACTGTTACTAGGTGTTTAATGAGGCAAATGTGTGATCCTGCAATGTGTAATACAGACATTTTACAAATTGCACTGTAATGTAGATGGTATTACGTTAGAAACCTCACCTGTGTTGCACATACACCAACCTCTGCTCTCTGAGGCAAAGCTGTCACATAAGCACTCAACAGATAAATAGGAAAGTTTACTCTACATCCCTCAAAGGCCCCCATTTAAAAAAGTACATTTAAAATATGCTCTGTACAGCTGTTGTCTTACCATTTGCCTTGTGCTGCACATCTGGCGGAAACTGGTCAGGAACATACCACTGATAGTCTGGCTGCACAGAACAATAAAACATTATTACAGCAATATGGACTTCATAGATACTTCAAACAAACGAACAGTGACATGATAAAAATATAATTGTGCTGTGAAGTTTTTTATTAGTCATACAAAAGTAGTTTACAAAAAAATCCTATATTTAGGTTTATATTTCCACTGATCAAGTCTTTCAGCTTGCTTCCTTTTTTATGACATGTGGTTTAGATGCGGCACTCATTAGAAATATTGGTGTAAACCTTTCTAAATCCCACAAATCAAAAGAAACATTAACAGAAACAAATCAGATTTTAAAAGAGCTAAGGAATAAAGTGCACCAGAAGATACCAGCAGGCATCGCATTCTCTGTGCTAGAGAACCCCAGAGAAACCTGGTATACATCGACCTGACAGGTGAGGCTGTTCCAGTCTGAATACATATAACATCTGTAATGTGTTTCAGTGTGACAGGAATAACCCATTTAATAAAGTTCTCTCCCCTCCTCCCTTCCCCCCAGGTTAGCACTAGTGTTCCTACACCATGAGCTGTTATCAAATAACTTCTTGAAAATACTGTGGGATGGGAAAAATTCACATCTTTCTCATAAGAGGAAGTATTGGGAAGGTTATATCCATGCAAACAGTTTTGTCCAGGGAAATCCAGGAAGAAATAAATACTGCATCATAGTTTATACCACACACCGTGGTAAATGAGTAGCAAATCACCACTAGAGAAAACAGGTTTGGGACCAGACGTTTCAGCTGAAGCTGTATTAAGCTGTCTATCTGGTTTAAGTAGCCCATGAAAGCTTGTCAAATTCCAGGTAAATACAGCTTCAAATTAGTTAAATTGGGAAAAGAATTCTTGTTTTGCAGAAATCACTCTGACAAAATCCTGAGTAGTCCCAAGGAGACTCTTACAGATTTCAACTTGCAGGGAAGAAACTTCATAGACTTCTAAAGAAGTTTTGCCTAAATTAAGATGGCAGGATGAAGCTGTAGATACGGGAAACAGATTTAACTTTTATGTATGCTGTCACTTGTAGTTACATAGCAGCAATCACTCTCATACACTGTCAGGAAAAAAGGAACTACTTTCACTTAAATGATACCATCCACAGGAATTATTAACTAATTCTACGCTTGCAGGCAAACAAAATAGGCTTTGATACAAAGCAGGACTCTGCTTTGCTTTAAGGACAGGTAGTTTTTCCACTGATGGCTCAAAATACACCTATTTGCATTGCTTTTTGGAGTTTCTGTTGAATTTTTCTGTTCTCTGATCTACTCTTCTCTTTCATATGTACTTACACCATGCAAACTTGAATGAATTTCAGAAACAAGAGGTGTATTTCATGTCAGACTAAACAAAATGTTTCTACTAACGATGTAAAAAGGAATGGAAAGGTGCAAGATATAAAGAGAAGGAAAAAGCAAAAGCACAGACTAAACACACAGGATTACGTACATTAACTCAGGACACTCATTAAATTCTAACACCTTTCTTCATTGCTAAACAAATTGCTCAGGGAGGTATCAAAAGCTCAGAGCAGCAATGCTGCACTCACACAGACAAAGATTTTCAAAGAAAACTCAGAATGAAACTGGGAGTTACAAAGCAACCAGTCAAACTGACCCTGACGTAGAAACCCAGATGATGAAAGTTCAGGGAGAAGAGCCAAAATAATCTGGGACAGTGTCCAAATTGCAGTGAAAAACATTCTGCAATACTTCCAACTCTGATAAATAGACAGATAAGCACACTCCTGAAGCATAGAAATGACTTGTTTGACCACAGCTTTTCCGCTGCATTTCTACAGTCTGAAAGCCTTATATGCATTTTGCAAAAATTCAGCTATAATTTCTCAAATAATGAGCATTTTTCCATATGTGACAGCTTTATAGCCTGAAACAGATATTGTGTATTTAAAAATACGTTCACCATGTTTAAATGCATTCTCCCTAGATTTGAACAAGCACAACTCACTTAGATAATCCAAAGCACTTCAAAAATATCATTCTTTGAAGTAGTATTTTCCATGAAATAAAAAACTCCCCCTCACATAACCTGCCCTAGTGCAAAGCTATTCTTCTTGATGCCGTGGAAGACAGGGCCCTGTTGCTTGGCAGGAAAAAAGACAAATTTCCCATTGTGTTAGCCACACTCAGATATAACTTCCACTTATGCTGCTTATTTTTTTTTTTTTTTTTTTTTTTGCAATACACAGGCTTGCTTGGGAAAAATGCATTCCTAAAGCATTCACAGTCAGAATGTCTCACCCTCAGTAGAACCTTATTCCTCACATAACCCCGTTTCACAGCAGTGTGCCAGAGGAAGATACTACTGGGTACAAGCATCTGGGATTTTGTCCTCACAGTTTAATAGCAGTATTGTGAATCCTGCCGATAGCTTGCCTGCCTGCCTGCCCCAAAAGGCGTACAGGGAACCTGGGATTGTGCAGTCTGGCTACAATGGTATTGCCTGATGGCAAGACAGTTATATTACCTATGAATACAGAAGCTGTAAGTGAAGAATAAGGAAAGTCATTTTTCAAAGACAGGCCCAGAGAAAGAAATACCCTGTGTATGACATGGAAATAAGACATATGAGTCAACAAGCTTTCATAGACTGAATAGAGGGAAGAGACCAGAATAATGCTGACCACAACTACGTTCTCATTTTTGTTACCATCGTTCATGTGGAAGGCCCTGAACTGGGCTTCAGAGACCAGATCCATATTTATGAATTTGGGTAACCATATAGATAGAAAGGGCTCTGAATGTGTGTCATGGAAGTAAATTAATCTAAGAAATCAGCAAGACTCCAATCAAACAACCTTATTTTTTGAATTAAGGAATGACCACCAGCATCACTGAAAACAATGTATAATAATTCCCTTTTTCTTTTTAGTGGTGTTGTAGATAAATAGTATTTGCCAAAGTAAATTTAAAATATATAAGAATATATACTTAAATATAACTCAGCAACCATATATTTAAATTGCTGCAATTTTTCCACTTTGTGCACAGATTTCTGTTGGTTATGCTTTGATTTAGACATGGCAGCACTCTATGCAATTCAGTACTGAAGACACTGGAAGAGCAAGGAAGAAAAGAACATGACTATCAAGAAAAAAAATCAGCATTTTGGAGAAGATTGTAAGGGAAGAGAGACTGTACAAAGATCATGAAGGCTGTTCTAGACCTAAGGCTAATTCTAAAACCAGTACAAAATCTTGATCTAGAACCAGCAACAAACTGGGAAACAACAGATTTACTGGTGAGGATGGCACTGATAGCACCATGCTATTCTCCTGTGGTCACCATGCTGTGAGAAAACCAGCACCCTTGTGAAATGGGAGATGGCAGGAACCTTACTGAGTGCTGTTGCTGCTCACGTGCCCTGTGAGACGCTGGATGTACTTGAGGATTTTGATAGTGAAGAACCAACCCACAACTCCCATAATTGACACATGGTGAGAGGAAGAAGGGAGGTGGGTAGCTGGGCCTCTCAGACTGTACCGGGAGATCTTTCGTCTATCAAAAAACAAGAAAAGCAAGAAGAAATGCATTAGTAGCAGGACACGATGACCAACAGAACATTTGCATACAAATTCATCAGTAAAATGGAACAGGGAAGAAACCCTCCTCTCTCAGCATGGGTTGTAATGCTGCTCATTTAGACACTTCAGAGTGTTCATGATTTAAAAAATTATTTAAGAAAGCTGACTTGTGCCACACCAGAGCCTTCACACTTTTTATGTGAGAAAATATTGGTTTCAAGATACAGCAAGCACATTTTCTGTGTGTTTTCTACATTCATGAAACATTTTCATTACACACAGTAGCTTTCAATAGTTTGAAGCAGAACTACATGGACAGGCACTTGCATAATAAGAAAAATAAATCATTTTGGTAAAGGACCAAAGTCAATGGCCTCAAGATTGGGGTCTGCCTTTTCTTAGGCCCTCTGTATCCCAGCAGAGTCAATGGGCATTTGCCTAAGGACAGAGCAAGGAGTCACAACTAAATAATTTGACTTAAGAAAACAAACTAATAAATATTCTATATGGTTCCTCCCATTTTTAAAATCCTTCATAAGGTCAGTTTAATCAAACGTCAAGGCAGGAAGAGACAAACAAGATGATCTCTAGCATAAACTGTCAAAGGAATGCAGGGGCAGGCAGGTTGTACATACACATTACACAGCACTTGTACAGCCCTTTGAGTATGCTGTACACATGCAGTGCTGTTGGCATTTCTCCTGGTCCAGAGCAGCTGGGGAGGAGTGGGAAAAGCCTTTTAGCCCCATGTGTAGTCTCTCCCTCTTCACTGTCACTGCTGTGAGAGATTCTCACAGCGTCCATTGACCAGTTGGGTTTGTGCAAGAAATTTAATCTTTCACAGTCTCCAGACAATGCAAAAATATATAGGAAGGCGTCTTTGAGTACTCTCCTACAAAAAAATTTCTTTACTGTCTTGAACCACACAGGAGTGGGCTGGTGGGTGGGAGAAATATACCTGAAACTTATTGCATGCAATGCTATCAGGTTTGTCCAACGTATTTCTATACGCTTGGGATGCTCTGAGTGGCAAATCATGGCATTCCCTCTGGCACTACTGTTTTTATACTTGCAAGAAATGCTTCCCAATACCCATAAAAGCACTGACAAGTCTGGGCTTTACTGCAGCAGCATCCAGGATGCCCAGCCTGCTCTCCACTCCCGCTGAAGTTGACGGGAATAAGAGGCACTTGACAGCACCTTGCCTCTGATAATATTGCAACACCCTACTAGTATCGATGCATGGCTTGGTCAAGAATAAGCCAATACTGAAGTTTCTGTTTCACAACAATGTTGGGGAGGACAATAAATCATCCCAGAATATTTTGGCCATTCTTCTAAAACATTGCACAACTTTGTCAGGACAGGAAACCTCAAAATTTCATCATTTTTAAAGAGGATTGAGAAAGCTCAGAGTTTTGCATGCCATGATTTTACTATGGCTTCCTGAATGTCTGTGAACACTGAATACTGACACTACTGTGAAGAGATAAAAAGGATGTTGCAACAAAAATTTATTGCAGCAGCTGCTCCGCTAATTTGGATGGAGACTTTTTTTTTTCCTCAGTGATATTAACATTACTCTGTAACTCCACTGCAGAGGTCAGGATTCATTATAGAACCTTTTATTTCAAAAGTTGGTTTGATGTTACAACTCTTATGTCAAGTGCCAGTAAAACAATCAACAGTCCTCTGGATTTGTTTTTGGTTCCCTCCCTCCATTTTAAGATATGTTTGAAGAGTTTTTGCAATAAATACTCCCTTCATCTACTTAATTTGGAAGTAATCTCTAATAATTTCTCATCCTCTTACTGCATTAATTCAGAATGATTTCATCCCAGGTGGTGACCTCATATAAAACCCAGTGTCAATTAATGGAAGCCAGAAAGCCTTGGGTTGTGTGGAAAGTGAGGAAATAAAAATAAAATACACATGTGCTGGCAACAGTAACTTTCTTTTGACTCATACCTGAGAGTTTAATTTATTCAGTTGAGACTGTAATCTCTCATTAGTTTTCTGCAATGCTTCTTTCTCCTCATTAAGTCTTTCTCTGTCAGATCTCTCCTTTCTGAAGTCTTCTTCATATATTTGTACCTGCAATCATTATGACCAAATATGTGAATTTCAGCAGAGCCGCAATGGAAATTTTAATCCACTTTGTTGTTTGGTTGCTTTCTAAACACTGGCCAAGCAGCAGGGTGCATTCCAAAAGGATCCCTCCTCTTTACAATCCTGTAACAAAGAGTTTCCCTCATCTTTTTTATGACCAAAGTGACAAGCAATGGCTATTCTCCAATGGCACCCATCAATGGAAACAATCCACAGCTTCAGCATTCATAGACCCTTGTAATTTAAAACGCTGACTGGCAGATATCAGTTTTAAATATCATAAATAAGACAGCAAATGCTAAAGACATCAATCTTTTTAAGGGATAAACGGCAGTAGGACAAACATTTTGCCAACATATTTACCAGCCTTCTCTTCAATTATGAGCACTTTTAACTCCTCCCTGTACCTCAGATGCAAGCAGTTCGCATCCTGGTGGAGATGGGAGGTACTGGCACAGTACAAAAAATCTGACCTCTAGGATGCAGTCTGACAGAACATTAGCACCTTATCCAATCTAAGGATGAGCCACTACCATCAAATAACATCCTGCCTTTGCCACTGAATCTGAATACCATTGGCCTTGAGCCTGCTTTGCTTTACGCCTTTTCGTAGTTGCCTGCAACTTTACCTTACCCACTGCGCTAGCTGTCTAGCCAAGGTGTGGCCCAAAGGACTAATCTGTGCAGAATAAGTGATAGTATTTAGAGCCATGGTCACATATTGATGACCAGAAGACTTGGACTAGTCAAGACTGTCAAGGAATTTAGACCTTGGCTGGAGCAATGTGGAAAAAAAAGAAAACCTGTAGGAAGCTATCATGCCTCAGATGTTAGAAATTGTATGTGGAAAAAATAATTGGCCCATGTACCTTTTGATTTTTGCAATACAGGACTTCTAATTCATCCTCTCAAACTGCAGCCCAAAGAACCTACCTGCCCCAGTGGAGAAGCAGCGGGGAATGTTATGTACACAATTCAAAATGGAAATACAGAGGCTTGATCCTGTTCCTAGAAGATAAGTTGCCTTTCAAATACTGAAGGATGCAATGGCTCAGCTCTTCTTATGTTGTCAGGAATCACAGTGCTTCATCCCATTAAAAAGCATCTGACCACCCCAGGCACAGGCAGCGAGAGCACAGATTCAGAAGCAAATCACAAATCCGTAAATTAAGCTGACTGGCTTAATTCTTCAGCTAACAGGCAAGCGTCCACCTGGTAAGAAGGAGGTTGGTGGCACTTCTACTGACAAACAACAGCAAAAGCACGTTGGGGTGGAAACCACCACCAGAATTTTCAAAAGTCCATTCATGTCTTCTTGGTAAGTCACTAAAGCCTGCTGACAGTCTGTTTCCAAATAACTTGCTTGCTGTGCCTCACGCCCCGCCTGTCATACAAATCCAGTTCTTTTTGATGGCAGCAGCACTATGACTTCACAGGAGGACTAAAGAAATGTTAATACCTCAGGGGAAGAAAAAGTCAACACAGGGCTCTATAAATTATTTTCACGACTTGCCTGTTGCAGCTAATGTTTGCAAATTTTTTTTTGGACCCAGTGTTCCCCCACTAGATATAACCCCCTTTTTGAATAACACTGTGTAAAAGGAACAAAGGCTTTCTGTGTGGCCGCATGGGGACTCAGCTCCACAGCCTGTGCCTGGAGGAGGTATGTGTGCCCCTCACCCTTCGAAGCAGCGGCAAAGCTGTTGCTTGCAGAAATCTAGGTCTCTTGTATCCCTGTCCATCTACATGCTTCTCTTCTCAGTATTTCCTTACTTATTCTCTCCTGATTCCCTCTCTGCTGTCCCACCTCCCTCCCATTCCCCAGCTGTACCATCTGCTGAAGCTGCAAGGGAACCATTTTGTGACAGTTTTGCCATATATTCTGTTGCCCTGAGAAAGAGGAACACCTGTCAAGGAATGAATGCCTTCATCTATTCTGTCATGGCCAGGGATGGGCTGATGACAGCCAAGCTCTGATGAGACTCTGTCACATCGATATTTGTCCCAAGAGTCCTTCCTGCATACAGTTAGAGCCTTCTGCTCCATTTTGCGCAGAAGGAAGTCTGGACTCACTGTACTGATTTATACAACTAGAAAAAGACATTCATAAAATGGATATCCCGTGAGAATTCTGAAAAAAATTGGTTTACTCTATTTTATTGTGTAGAATGAAATAACTCATTACTGTACAGTCAAATGCAGGATTCTATTCTCCAGCATGTGGCAAGCATTACATTAGAGAGCAAAATCTGGCTCTGCTGTCAAACGTGACAGAAACAAGTATTTTATTCCCATTGAAAAAAATTCCAATTCTGATCACATCCATTTGTGTGTCAATAACGTTAACCCTAACACTATCCAGGATGACAGACCTAAAATGTAAAATTATCTGAAAAGTATCATGTTTTTAAACAGATTCTTTCATATGGAAAGAAAAAGAGTGCACAAAGCACTTGAATTCCTCAGAACAAAGATAAAAAAAAATACACTTCTCTGTAGTGATTGGTATGCAGGTTATGGATGCAAATGTTTTGCCTCACACTTTGAAAAACTGCAATGCCAACACTCTAGTTTTCCAAGACTAGGATTCTTAGATAATTCAACTGATCTTTCAACTTGTAAGAAAAAAGGAGCAGAAGACACAATCAGTAACTGGATGAAATTCAGCCCATAGCAGAGAGCTGGCAGGACATCTCCAAAAATCAGAGAGACATTTTGCTGCTTCGAGTCCTACACAAGTCCTTGCTTCAGTCCTTTGCAAGGACTCAGCTTCACTTCATGGACACTGCTGTGATGATAGCATCCTAGGAAATACCATGTGAATGGGCTATGGCTAAACTGGTTCTTCCTGTCAAAAGCTCTGTGTAGCAAGTCTACCAGGCACAATTTTTGGGAGAGAGGGCAAAATCATGCTGTATGAAAACCATCCAGGATTACTTCCAGCTGTTCTCACCTGCTGTCTGAGAACTTCAAGCTGGGTTCTCATGTCCTCAAGGCTGTTCCTGTCACCCTTCTCTGAAGGAGTCCCAAGAACAGGTGAGTGCTGCTTTTTCAACACATCCAGAAGGGCCTGCAACATCAAACAGCAAAATTACTAAACAGAGAATTCACTACATTTAAAAAAAAAAAAAATTCCTTTTAAATTATTAGAATGTTTGCCCTCTAAATAAACAGATTAAAGTGAGTCACAGATTTGTGGGGGTTGTCCTTTCATTTGCAATTGCTTCAATTATATACACTGGATATAAACCCCATGAATAACATCTATGCATGACTGGGTCCAAATTTTCAAAGTTTCCACGCTACATCCGTGAATTTGAGACAGTGTCATTTAGGAGACTGTGCTTTTACTTATAACTGTAACCAACATTTACCGATGGAAATCACAGCTGCAAATCTCATTCATAAGCACCATCTCCCTGTTCAAGTCAGAATTTGGGAAAACAAAAACAGTTGTCTTAACTCAGGTGAGGCCAAACCCAAGCAAACAAAAAAACCAAGAACATAAAAGCAATATTCAAAGATAGCCTAAAAATGTGACTACAGTGAAGTCTGACAGAAATGTTTTTTGCACGGAGTACAAATTTCTTCAACTAGAACTGAAGTAAACCCTCCAGTTGAGAGGAAGTTATGTAGTCTCTATAGCTTGTCACTAGAGGGAGTTCTGAATACACACACTACACTGATAACACTCTTACTCTATTTTTCAGTCAAATTCCGCCATAGTTCTTTGCAGATTTTATTTATTCTTAACAGTATTACACAGTTCTCCCTTGGACTGGGATAATTTTTAAATCGCTCTTACCCCTCTCTATCAATAACGACACACTACACTTAAATATTTCTTATTTACGCTAGCACAAATATTCACCGTTCAGTACTTTTCAGCATCTCTCACATCAGATATGAGCTTAGCTAACTTCACCCATTTTAGAAAGTTCAATTCCTGTTAATAATTCCTAGCTTCTCCTTGGTGGCCACGCTCCATTCATGCTATAAGGGAAGGAGGAAAGACAATCCGGAGGGGGAAGAGGAAGAGGGGGAAGTGGCCAAGCAGGAGAACCAGTATCTTAAGTAACCCAAGGATTAGTATTAATTATCAAAGGGCCAACAATTTTTTTTTTTAAATTAGCACTTTCCATGGAGAGCAAAGAAGAGAAAAGGGAGGCTTTTTATCTGATGAGCTACTGTCCCTAAGAATTGTGTGGAAGAGAAATTGGTATAATAGCAGCAAAGTTTCTGTGCCATGTCAATACATAAAGGTTGAACATAAACTTGGGAAGATGAAGATTACTGATCAATCCTCAGTAATTAATTACAGCTAACTTACTGATTAATCCTCCTTTTGCCCCCTTGCCTAATCCCTTTCAGGCTATCACACTGCAACGCTCTGCACAAATAGTAAAAACAAGTTTCACATTAGCATTTTGATTGGGCATGGGTCACCAGCAGCAGCAAGAGTCAGTGAAGTTTGACGATATCGCAGTACATATGATGTGCTCCCTGGCTGACTGCAAACCAAATCCTTTCCCAGGCGTGTGGTTTGTTAAGCATACTGTGCTAAGGACAGAGACGAGTGAAACATACTTCTTCCCCCTGCCTACACAGGATACATCTCCATCTTGCTGACAACCACAAAATCGTGAGACTTGTTTGGGTGGCAGGGGACACCTGGAGGTCCAAGCCCCTGTTCAGAGTCAGGCCAGGGAGGTCAGGTTGCTCAGGGCCTGTCAATGGAGTACTGAGCACCTCCAGGGAGGGCGATTTCACAGCCTCTCCGAGCAATCTCTTCTAATATTTGACCACCCTCAAAAGAAAGTGCTTCATATGCCCTAATTCAAAGATAACTGAGTGTCCTTCCTTCGCAACATCCCATTTTCCCCGTCATCTGCTGCACCCACTTTTTATATGGCTCTGTCTTCTGCTAAAACTCCTTCACTAGGACGTATCCTACTGATCATAGCCATTCTGATGTTACCAAATGGTAACGCACCTTTACAATTGAAGTATGTCATAAGTATAGTCATAAGCTGTTGATAGTTGTCCTAACTCTTGAACAAATGCTACTATATTGACTATTTTTCTTGCAGCTCACTTTCTAGAATCCTTTTTTTTTTTTCTTTAAGAGGTTCTACATCTCAGGATTATGGTGGGGAAAAAAAGAAAAATCAAGAAAATTTGATTTCAAAGGTTAACAGTAGAGAAAAATAAGGTAAGGATTTTTTTAGGAAGCAAAACTGTTAGACCCCTTTTTATCACTTCAGAAAAAAACCCCCCCACAGGCATGGGGGGTGCAGGGGTTGGATTTTGGGGTGACCCCCCAAACCCCTCCCAAAGAGACTGGGGGGGTGGATTTTGGGGTGCCCCCCCCAAACCCTTCCCACAGAGGCGGGGGGGGGGGGGGGCGGAAAAAAAAAAATTTTGTAATGTTGCTATTAGACCAATAGCAAATTATTGAGAATTATGTCATTATAGGAGATTTGGGTTCCCAAATGTAAAATGGAAACTAAATACTACTAAAGCTAATACTCAAAGATGTAACTGGAATATTTTTCTTTCAAAATTCCCATCACTCAGAACTGACAAAAGGTGGGGCTGGTTTAGAGTCATTTACTGAAGAAATGACGATATTATTGTTCCAATGGTTTTAAAAAACAACTGAATAAAATTACCATGAGACACTTCAGATTAAAAGTAAATAAGCTATTTTAAATATGTAACTAAATTTGTAATTTCAAATTAGCAAATTTGAGAAATTACAAAAAACTTTTAGGCAACTTCTGTAATTGGTCCTATGTGCAATTTTTGCAGATCATTTGGCTATTCCTACTTCATTCAAAGTCAAAGTACAAAAAAACCCCAGCCAACCAAACCACTCCCCTACCCCCCAGAAAATCACATCTCAAATAAGCTGAAAAAATTCTACAGGAAAATGCTCAAGGGACAGCTGGATGAATAATTTCAAGAAGAGAAATTAAAATGCCTTTAGGGACTGGAGAAAGGATTTGATACCAACAAAAGCTGCCAATTTTGGTAGCTTTTAGATGAAAGTGCAGGGTGAGAGACAGTCACACTGAGCTGTATGTTGCAAAAGAAGTTAACCATAAATTTTATATATATATATCTCTATAAAATACTTTTTTTTTTCTACTAGAAAGGAAAGGCATTGCACATGAAAGCAAGACTAAAGACAGTATTTCCAATAAGGAAGGTAACATAGAGCTCTGTAGATAACCATGGCAGTGGCAGGATGGCTAACAGTAAGGAAGACATACCAATGAGAAAGAACTCACAGCTCAATGAGTTAAACCAAGCTTAATGCCGTGTTAAGTAACATTCATTCAGAAGTACTGAGAACTGAAACCTGAAATTGCAAGACAAGCAGCACAGAGGTTTTCTGAATTTTTCAACATCAAAAATGGAACTGTATGACTGAAAAATAACTACCTTGGTTTTCAAATCTAAAAGGATAAGTGATCCATGCACCTAGAAACCTCTTAATCTAACCTCAAGAGTGTGCCAGGCTTGGGAGGAAATTTTCCAGGTAATTGCCTTATAGACATGAGAAATGGGATGAAGCAAAGCACTCTTTAACCTGATGTCTTTCATAACAGACAAATTTTCTTAACAAGGAAAATACACTAGAACTTGTTAGTCTATGTTAAAATAACAATTGAGATGGTGCTGCAGTAAAGTTATGAAATAAGTCAGAAATTTGGCTTGTACTTGAACTATATGGTGAACAAGGAAACAACCACAGGAAAGCCAAGTCTTGGAATATAGCATTGCAAACTATTACGGCACTGCAACATCACTTTCAGGCTGCAGACATCAAAGTAGGATCAGATCAGGCTCTATACTTTGGGTATTCTGGATGACAGGATCAAAGTGGGGTGAAGCCGAAAGTAAAAAGATCGATGTACTTAAAGTAATAAGTTTAATGTACTTAGAAACAAGAAGTAGTGTCTTCCATAAACTGAGAACTAAGCAGTTTAAAATGACTGAAATGACAAAAACATGCATAGTAGCAGGCACAGTTGTATTTTAAAAGACTAGAAAAGCTGGGTCAGCCTAGCTGAACTGTCCTCTAGTGAAAACACGATTGCTCTCTGTAGCTATAGGAAAGGAGCAAGTGCCCCAGAGAGCAACCATATTTTCACTAGAGGACAGTTCTGCTTCATGCAAGGAGTGAAGCAGATCTGTTCGACACAGCTACCAGAAGAACAAATGAGTATCATCTGGCCAGAATCAATTCAGCCCAACTGAAACAGATAAAAGCATCTAATGAAAGAAGGGTTACAGTTCCAGAACAGCCTTCCAACAGAAACACGGTAGGAGGAGCTTAAGTAATTTTAAGGAAAAAGTTGTTTGATTTCAGAGAGTTTGTAAGAACTTCAAGTCACTGAACCTGCAAGTAGCAGGAGACCAGACTTAAAAGGGCAGAGAGGTTCGCTTCCAGTCTTACGTTCATTCATGACATGAGATTTGAAGAATGCAAATACACAGAAAATCAGTAAAGTATTACTCATGGGAAAATGTGTTACATGAAATTGATGTTTCATTTAAAAGTATTGTCTACTTACCCATCTGTCTTAGTTCCAACCACATCATAAGACAGCAAAATAAAACATTGAAATAAGTTGTTTTACAAACAAGACCTTGAATGAAAGTTACACTGAGGCTTTGAGCAAGTCAATGCATTTCAAAAAGAGTTAGAGATCATACGTTCTGTCAGATTTCTGAATATGCCAACACTATTTTTTTGCCTTGACTTTTGCATCATGGCCCTTCAGCTTGTGTACTGAAGTTACACAGCAATGGTTACTGCAGTGCATTTCCTCAGGAAGTGTTTGTGGTTCACCATGAAATACAAAATTGTTAGAAAACACCCACTGCTTTATGTGATCTTTTGATTAAACAAAGCTACATTTATTACTTTCCCTCAGTTAAAAAAATAAATAAATAAATGCCATTTAGTTATTTTATGGAAATTTTCTCAATGAGACTTACATACACATACATACTTATATGTATGAATATATGTATATAAGTATGCTCCTGTCTTACTTTTTACATGCATGTCTTGTGAAAAGAAGCCATTTTTCTCAAACAGAATATATGTAAAACAACAGTTTTGAAACTGCCCGCATTTTTTTTAATCAGTGTTTCACTGGATGCAGAAGAAAGCATCTTTGTGCCATTTCCCTTTTGTTCTAAGGTGGGAGAACACTGAAAGAGCTCAGATAGAACACGTAGAGAGGTTTCACAACAAAAGCCAAAGATTCTTTTTCACAATGCGACCCTACTGCCTACCAAGAACAGCATGCTAAAGTAAGCTCTTGCTTGTTTCCGCGGCTCCCTAACGGTGATCATGAGTTTGCTACCATGAACAGGCTGTACACCCAGGATTGAAAAGATGGGCATCTGGTAGTATCACTGCTTGACAACAGAGACCCTAGAATTAAAGGAAGAGGTCCTGGTCAGTGGCTGTCTCTCATTCATACCTTATTCAGACGACTTATTTCACACTCATAGTGTTCTTTCTTTCTGACCATTGAGGCATTCTTCTGCTTCAGGAGCTTGTTCTCTTCCTTCGTTTCACGGAGGGCTTCGCTAAGGACCTTTGTTTCTTTCTGGGATACAAAAACACAGAGAGATGCTGCTGAAATGCAGATGGAACCATTTTTCAAGAACAGTTTTCAGAATATCTGCTGTCTGGCAGATGTGCTGCATTTTCATTGTCCCAAACACAGCTGGGAAGGGAGGGAACAGGAAGGCGGATGGTTAGTGAAACCCAGATATGATAAAGTCTGTTGAAATTGTTTTGACCACTCACCATATGATGAGACAGAGACAACATACCAAACTCTACCCCTGCTCTCTACAATCTGCAGTTGCACAAAGCCATGAGAAAGATGGCAGGCCAAGCATAACCGTGCCATACAGATGATCATCCCAAACCTGCATTACTCTTTATATACTCAGCGTAAGGCCAAGGCTAAACACTAGTAGAGTCCCAGCTGTTCCCAGTGTCATACAACATTAAAGACAAAACCAGATTTCAGTGTCACATAGTCTGAGGGCTTTTTCCACTAACACAAGGGACTGAGGCAGGTCTCAGTCTGCTCAAGTATTACCAAGCGACCAACCAAGGCTTACAAAACCGATTTCTTTGACTCCATCACAGTTGTCATTGACTTGAGCTTGACCCTTCCTAGTGCACATGCCTACACTGTTGCCAACCCAGCAAACTACCAGGAAGATGTCCCTACTTGCAACAGGATTATACACCAGTCTTTCAAGATGGTATTACAGGAATTCTTAGGACAGATTTGCCAAACTTCAAGTTTGATTCTCTTCTCCTATCACTTTCAGTACAGCTATTTTCAATTTAAAATGAAGGAAGCTAAGATCTAAATCAAACCCTGAAGCAAGTGGCATTGTGTAAGCTTCTCTCTAGGGTAATGCATTCCTCACTAGCCCACTTTTGCCAGACACTTTTAGACCAAAGCTTTTCAGACATATGAAACAAAATGGCTCGTTCTACACAAAAAGAAAGTATTTGAAATATTATTCTGCAGCTGCTTTATGTGTTAAAAAAAATGAGATCCAACATCACATGCACAGGACACCATACGAATGGGGTTTTTTCTGTGCAACAGGCATATCTGTGCAGCCAGTGACTAGGCATTTACTGTTGGGGCTTGTGAGAAGTGCTTCACCATGTGCTAACTGAGCCACTGAAAAACACCCTTGAGAAACTGTTGCTTACACACGATTTTCCAGTGTTCCAAGTTAGTTGGAACATTTCATTTTCTCCAAAATCTGGGCAAGACTAGCAGGGTATCTCTGCATTAAGCATAGGAACTCACCCAGGAGCTAGCTCAACCTGGCACGTGCATGTATGCTTTAAGATATTAAAGAAAAACAAAACACTAAAATCTGTATAGGCTTTTAGCTATGCTCTTCTCTTCACCTTTGCCATCCTCTTCTCCTAGCTCATATTGCACATTCTCTTTCTCAGAGGCTGACACCTCTGGGAACATGGCCATTTAAAACTGAAGATTTCCAGTTTATTCAAGTTTTTGAACTATCTGAATTCTTATGTTTTATCGCTTCTTATTCGACACTGAATCTGCCGTGTTATGGTCCCTAGGTTTTCCAGTGACTAGGCTGGTCTTTGATTCCTGTCTATGGGTACATAATCATGTCCAAAGAGAACAAAAAAAAAATTAAATTTCTGAAAACAGTTTTCCTCTGTGGGCCATGGAGAACATGGGGACAGATGAAGTTCACAACATCGTCATTCTGGGAGAGCAATACCTCCAGGTGCATTAAAAAAAAAAAAAAAAAAAACACACCCAAAAAACCAAACCACCTCTGTAAGACAGCAGCAGCATGTAATCTGTCTCATGGTTGTTTGGTGCTGCTGGTTTTCCTGAATGGCTCAGCAGAGCACCAAGAGACCTGTCACTGAGTAAAGAATTTTAAAAGGTACTGTCAGGATGCTGGCTTAGATAAGCAAGTAGAGAACAAAAATCTTGTTACTTTGCTCTGGCAATTGCCCTGTACAGCCCATCCCATCTCTGTGGCTACAGGGGGCTAAGTAAAACATTTAAAAGAGAAAGGGTTGTTACCTCTCAAGAAAAGAAAAAAAATATAGATACACACACATATATATAAAGCCAAATGCATGTATGATGAATGTTAGTTGCTGCAGAAAAAAAACCCCAAAAAACATAAAGCCCTAAAAATCTAATCTTGGTAGATCTGTCATCTTGCACCTCTTCCATATCTGCAGAACTTTAAAGCAACAAGCCTGCTCACGTGCCTTCAAGCTGAATCTATGCATTTTTCTGAATCACCCCCTGGCACTGCTTTTTCTTTATCCTGTCCTGTGGGCAGCATAGAATAACTTGAGTTGGCACAGCTGCTGACAGGGCATTTTACAATCCTTGTTGCTCATTCAAAAAATCTTTACTTTTAGCAGTTACCTCTGCAAAGGTGTAGATCTCCTGCATCCCTGCATGACATCCAAAAAGAAATTCAGAGTAAATAGAAGCACTTACTAGCTAAGTATGCAATTTGTAAAGAAACTGCTGGTCTAAGGCTAAGTTCCATGCAGGAACCTGTCCCCATAAGAGATTTTTGGATTATATTGTCATTTACTTCATTATTCATGTATGTAGTAAAAAGAATTGGGAGAGTGTACTGCTCATACTTAAGTTTTCAAACAGGTAGCTAGGGCTATTTTTCACAGCTATCACATATTAAAGGGCAGGCAGTTAAAACCTTAGTAATAAGAACAGGAAGATGGGTTGTCTCGCACTGAATCCACACTCAGAGCAAATATAGGCAGTGATTCAGCAAGTACACAGTTTGCTTTAAAACATGAAAACAGTCCCATTGGTTGGAAATTAAGCACGTGCTTACCTAAGACCATACCATAATTGATAAGCAAGTAAGATGAATGTTCTGCTTATGAAGATAAAAGGGCTTTGCATTTCTTTTCCTGCAGCAGCTAACTTACATCTTATCTGAGCCTGAAAATGATGCGATTGCCACTTGTTTTCAGGTTTGTTTCATGTTATCAAGTGAATAGAGAAGTCAGACTTCAGCCATCAGAGCACCATCCAGAAACTCTTACAAGAGGTTATGAAGCGTGTGACACCATGAGGCAGAATGAGAATAGGAAGCACCACCCTGCAGTGCTCGTAAATTGGGGCACAAAGTTTTGGGTATACATTGGGCATTTATATGCTGATCACTCAGGCTGGTGGTTTTAATGTGGTAGGAATTCACCTTGGGGATCTAGCTTTAGATTTGAATGCATACACAACAGCCAGTGCCTAACAAGTCCTGAAAGAGTTGCCCAACCACTCTCAGGGTGAGGTGAACGCTGCTCAAGAGCAGCTGATCAGCCCAGGCACTTTCAGCCCTAATAACTGCCCTGACTACATGGCTAGTGTTTATGGGGAGCCGAGATACCTAGCACACACATAAAAGCCTATATTGTCAATACCAAAGTGTGGGTGTCTGGAGCTGAACTCATTTCTTTAAGTATTTATTGCTAAGCACTTCATGTAACATCTGCAATGACATTCTTATTCCATTTGAAATCACGGTAGCATTTTCGTTCACAAAGAAATTCACCCCAAACTGAACAGTGAAGAAGAAAATCTCTGCAGTATTCATATCAATCTGCTCACCCCCGCACACTAACGCTGTGCTCTCTGCCAATTTCTATTGAAATGACTCTCTTTATATACATAGTTCTCTGATCAGACAGAAGATCAGCCACTGCCTTGGGTATAATATTGAAGAGCCCTCTACAACCACAATCTCATCTCACGTCTGTGTGACAACCCACGCCCTGCCACTCACAAGAAGAGAAAGAAGCAAGACCGTGTTGCACACTGAGCACAAACAGGGTGACTGACTGCACCCTCCTACCATTTCCTGCAATGGCCTCTCTCTGCCCAGGGCTCGCAACCTCTCATCTTCTGGATGCTGTCGCTGTCTCTCTTCCTCCAGCTCGCTGACTCTCCTCTCCGACACATCCAGTTTTGCTTTCATTTCAGCCAGCTGAAAAGCAAGTGGCAGACCATGGTAGGTTGACTGGGGATCCCAAAAGGCACAGCACCTCGAAGGTGCCTTCAAATCATTTCAACTCTCAGCAGATCAGTGTAAAGAAGTGGATCTGGTTGAGTGTAGAGTCCCCAGCCACTGACTTTCCCATCCCCACCTCCAAGCTCCGCTCCTCTGTCTACAGTGGAGACTCTTAATGATCCTGGGCAAATTTTCCTTTGGTGTTAACCCAATTGGGTCTTGCACTGTTTTGCTGCCAAAGGACAGCTATCATGGGTCTGCCTCTCCAAATGAATTTTCCATTTTAATGTTCTTTTTTTTTTTTTTTCCTTTTTTTTTCCCTTTTGCAATTTGGACTCCTCCTGCAGTGGTGCACATCCTAATAATCTAGCCAGAGGAATAAAACGGTCCCATATTAAATCAGGAAGAGCCATTTAAATTCCTCTTCTCTTTGGGGAAAGAAAAAAAAAAAAAAAATCTAAGAAATTATCCAGATCTCAGTAGAGCTTACTGGAAAATATTCAAGAAAATTTTCGTGATAAGCACATAAAGTCATTCTGCAAAATTCCTTTTCATAGAAGGAAACAGGAGATGAGAAGTGTCAGTCAATGAACCAACTTGGTTTTCGGAATACCAGGCAAAACTGTAAGCAGCCAGCTTCACTAGGCAGCCAATCATGTCTGCAGCAAAGATGCCACAGAGCCACAAGCAAGGAATGAAAGCTATGTCAATGGGATCTTGACAAAAAAAAAAAAAAAAAAAAAAGGAAATAAAAATTATTTATTTACAATTTTTTTTTAATGACCTGCTTTTGTACAGAGCACTTTCTCAAAAGGAAGAAAGTCTCTCTGCTTATAGAAGGCAGCATTCATGGAGGATTTATCCGAGAGCTCCCCCATTACAGGGATGAACTTCCAGGCTTTACAAGCCAGCCACAAGAGATGGGGCAAGAACAAATAGATTTGTGATTATGCAGATCAGTGGCTGGGCACACCAGGCACTGCAGACTAATTTTCAGTTAATTGTGCTCTGAAGTATGAGCAATTTTTTTATTACCTTGTGGAGGACATTAAGATCTCTGCTGTCATGTCCATTCTGGTCCCTACTATTTTAGAGATGCCTTGCTTCTCTGGTCATTTTGTCCTACTGAAGATTGTACACACATTAGCTTCACTTCTATGAGATGAAGCTTTTTTAATTCATGAGCTAAAGACAAAGTAAACATGATGTCTTTCACCCTTAAGTTATTTATTATAGCTATGGCTACATATTCCAACAGAACTAGTCAACATTGTTACCTGGTTTTCGTAAAGCTGTTTCATACTTCTAAATTGATGATCCCATTGCTTGTTCACCTCCAGCAGCTGTAATTAGCAGGAAGTCACAGTCAATAACCCTTATTTCAACATTTTCAATAAATAAAAAATAGAATGCATTCTAATTTTCCAGTTATGAGTGTTCACAAGCTCCTCATTATCTGGCCAGTTCATTTCAGAAAAAGCAAGTTTAAGGTTTGGCAAGTTTTATGGCCCATCTGCCAGTGCTTTGGTATTTCAGTTAAAGTACATGAACGTTCAGGAAGTAACATTCAGGAAACATGCAAATACACAATAAGCTACGGTGAATCATCTGCAATGCTCTACAAATCCCAAGCTGCAACTACTAAATGGCCAATGACTTTCCTGGTAGTTTGCTTTACGTTTCACACACACATCCCCAGATAGAAAGTGTTTGACTTCAAACAAGTGAACTGAAGACTCCTGTTGACTGCTATTACTACTGGGTGCAAACCCGCCTGCCTTTCTCAGTACCACTAAAGCAAGCAAGTGCATGCATGCAAGATGGGAAGATTGGCTAACACCACACACACTAGTGGTAGGAGTGAAGTCAGCGTGCGTGCATTTTTATTGGAGAAAGCCAAATAGGTCCCTCTGAAGCATTTTGCTTTGTAGGATATAGGGTCACTCTTTAGGATGCTCAGCAAAAGAATGGCTTCCAGTTTGTTGCTACCTGCAACCAAGACACCATTGGCTACTACTCACAGTGGTTCCTTCACTTTTACAATAGTGATCAATAGGAAAATTTGCTCGTTGTACCGTATAAATCTCTGCTGTTCTAGATTCACAGCCACGTTACAGTAAGTCATCATTTGTTTTTAGGAACAGTTCTCCAAATATAACTCTGCATAGCTTGATAGAGAGAAGTAGGACTATAGGAACTAGTGTAAACATAATTTTAAGTGCTTGCACAGTTACAATACAAGTAACAGTGATAACACATTCAGTGATTTCCTGCCCTGGGCATATTACTGATATTTTTATGTCTGTCTTAGAGGTTATTTCTGTAGAGATTAAGGGTAAACTTAAGATTACCTCTTGTCTCTGTCTTTCCAGTGAGAGGATGTGTTGTTCCAGAGACTTGGATGATGTAGTCTTCTTTTTGGTCAGCAATATGTGCCTTGACTGGAAAAAAGAAATGTTTGAAAATGAATGCTTCTGGCATCCTCTCTTCAAGTCAAGATTATCAGATAAAACTCCCATCCACCCCACCATGCGTACATAAAGAAACTGAAACAACATCATCTTGCATTGCATTTGTATTGCAGTACTTTTACACCTGTTGACAGCAGATTCTGAAGTGTACATCTGCTTTAACCCAGCTTAGTCTGTTTTAATTGAAGCATTATTCAAATGGACACAGAAATAAACAAAGTTATGTCTATTTGTACCATCTGAGACATAGAACACAGAACAGGATTTTAATTATCTTACAGATGGTAATACAAACAAGTCGTACAAGCCACAAACGTTGAGCATAAGTTGCAGTGGGTGTAAGTAATTCCCTTCATTTATAAGAACGAGAATAATTAGTAGTATTGCCCCTGGTAAGTGCTTGCAGGTCCAAGGCAATAAACTTTAGCACAATGGGTTCAAAACAAGCAATATGGAAAACAAATAGCCATTTGGAGAAATTAGGAAATCAGTCTGCAATTGTTCCATTTTTTAAAGTGTGGAGCTTTGCCCGTGCAGGACAACAGCAGCTAAACCCTTCTTTTTATAATGGCAATGTCTTGTATCATAATTTCCAAGAAGTTTCTATGGATTATCACGAACATGTGATCTATTAGATAGATATAGATATAGATATACACACACACACACACAGATGATATATCAAGAGAACTGTACAGGGAAAAAAGATACATGCTCATAAAAATAAAGCATACTATGTTCTGATATCTGGTCAGGGATTTTTTTTTTTCCTCCCTAAATTCTCAACTGATGTATGAGAAACTAGTAAAAGTGTGAGCACTTCTGAGGTCTTAAATCTCCTGAAATAAATTTATTTTCTTCAGCTAGAGAATTTAATGCCAAATACCAGTGAAGAAGATCAAAGAATAGTTTTGTTGTGTTTTTTCCTGACCACATATTTGCCCCCAGGCCAGTCCTGCAGAGCTCTAGTGTGGAGCTCTTGACTTCCATGCCAGAAAACACTTAATACCTCTTCCTATAGAAGTTCATCAACATGTTTAACTTCTAAGTATCTAAAGCATTTAGCTGACAGTCAATGGAGTTATTCACATGTTGAATTGTTTTCAGAATATGGGCCTCAGGCATGTATTTAAGTGGATATGTAAGAGTCCTATTAAATTGAATAGGAGAACTCACAAATCTAACAGCTATATATACACTTAGCATCAACTGGCCCGAATACTGCTCACAGAAGTTGTTCGGTCACTAAAATGAACCACTTTCTACCCTTTGTATAACAACAAATTACAATGGCCATATATTTTTAGGGGGAAAAACCCCCAACGCTAGGGAAGGTGTTCTAAGAATGTCATATCCAAAAATATTTCTAACATTTCTTTCTACTCTTAAACAGCGTAAAATCATTCAGACAAATCTACTGGAACACAAAAATGAGTCCGTAACTGTCAATCTACAAAGTGACACACATGATATCTTCACCAGCTCAAGCTGTTCTGTTAATCAAACAGCACTTCAGAGGACAGCCAAACAGTCACTTACTTCTAGTAGGTCTGCTGGGGCTTCCATGTCACTCACACCTGCCCACGTACATCCAAGACGGCCTTGAGCATTTGTTTCACTACGGGTCTTTGGAAGAAGAGGAGCAATGGAACAGATATTTTACAATGGCTAAAGCAGTAGGAGAATTGCATTAAGACCCAGAAGATCTACGCATGCTGCCTGCGGAAGCAGCTGAGCTTCAGAAATAAGCGGTGGAATTTTGAATTTAACCTTTTCCTTCTTCCTGGCAGGGGCTTCCCAGAAGGGCTGAAGCACACTGCCTATGACTAATATGCCGGGCAAAGCAGTACTCTGCTTAGTGTGCACGTAAATCGCAATATACTGGCCAGTTCACCCTGAGAGAGGAAGTTGCACGTATAAGGGAAGGAAGGGTATGTTTTTTTCAGTAAATAAGAGGACAGGGTTTTCTATCCCTGCTTCCAGTTGTAAAAAAGGACTTACGTAAGTATGGCAAGTATTAAATGACACTAAGACAGTGTGAACTATCATGATAGAAAGATTAGTGAGTCATGCTTATAAAGGAGCAATAGCGAAGTCTGTTAACGGCTATGGGGAAGAGCACATCCATACAAACCCCAAGATGTTTAGGGGAAAACCATAACTGGAAAATTGATTTACTTTCCCTGAAGAAAAGCTGCACAAAGATAAAGAATGACATTGTATTTGCAGTTCTAGTACTTACCTTATCTAAGCACGGATCTAGCTTCAAGCTACTCAGGTCTTCACTGGAGTACACATGATACCCAACACTTCAAACTTGTGTCTCAGTTTACCATTTGGAAAAAGAGGTTAACCTTACCAAGTTAAACTCACAGGAAAGATTAACAAAGAAAAGGCTTCCACAGACTTCACATACAAAGTCAGGACAAAACACAGAAGTGCAAAGTATTGTCATCTTCAGTCTTGGAATTCTGAATAACAACGGATTTGAGAAGGAAGTGTGAAATAAAAATAATTTTACTTATTGTGTAAAGATCCCTGGGTCTGAGGCTTTTTCAGTGGGGGCAGAGGTTGCTTATTTCCTTTTCAAGGAACGGAATGAAAGCTAGCCTGTGAAACTTGACATAAAATAATATAAATCTCTGGGAGTTCTTTCAACTTCCAAAAAAGGATTTAGACAAAGTAAAGTAACCCTGTGAAATGCTGGAATTCACGGGCCACATTTCAGATCTCTGGTTCATAATGTGCAACTAAGTAACTCCTCTTCTGCAAGATACAAAACCCAATTTGGAAGAAAGCTACTATTTTATAATATTTGCATATGAAATATATCCGCCCTACCCTGATGTTCTTTTTATTTTTTCCTGCTTTATGGAGTGGCTGGAAAACTCACAGGCTATCAAGACAGAAATTAAAAATTAAAAGTAAATGTCATTTTAATAAAGACGTTTTACATTCTACACAGGACCCATCAAAAAATTTAAGAACTTTATCTGTACTTGTAGCAAAACTAGTCTCTGAGTATATCCCTGCCAGGTACCGCACTGGTTTAAAGAAGGAAGAACTACTGGCTGATAACAGCAATTTCCACAATTGCATTTCTTTACATTTCTGTAGTGATTAATGTAGCATAAGAAATAAGAGCCAGCAACTGCCAGGCAATGGAACAAAGTAAACCTCTGTACCACCAAAGCAAGGTTGTGTGAAATGGGAAGGCCATCCTCCAGGAAACAGACATGCAATAGTCAACTTCTAAAAATGAATATAAGTACTGTGCTCCCTGAGAGAAGGTAGTAATAGTTAAGCCATAAAATCCCCATAGTGGAGAGAGAAGAGGAAGTACCATGCATTTTAAAAATGAGACCGAGTACTATAATATTATTAAAAGTTAAATCAAAGCTTACATCTAATGACTTCAAAGCTCTTTGCAGAAGTAGGCAATAACCCTATTATACACATAGGGAAACAGACCAACTGAATGCTAAAGGTCACCCAGATGTGAGTGTCAGATAAGAGAATGATGATGTCTCCTCTCACCCACGGTCTGTCCGTCTGTCACAGCTGCATCTGCAGCACCCACTAGCAGGCTGTCACTGCATAATTTTGTGTTCTGACTGTACTGAAGTTAGGGCACACAAAGAGTCAAGAGTCAGCTGCTGAAGAAGATGCTGTAACTAGACACAAACGACACGAACAGCAACTATCTATCATCTTCTCACAACGTCCTGCTACCTTGTGTTGGCCTGATACAATCCTGTAGATTATGAACTCATGGAAAGAGAGTCTGTCTGTCTATAAAGTACCTGCACTGAGCATCTGATTCACAAACATACAATCAGAAAACTTCCACGCTGCACATCTGCTCTCGAGGGCAATGATTCTCAAGCACAGACACCTTCCCTTACCCTGGCTCCTGTGCTCAGCAGTCTCATCCCCGTTCCAGCAGCAGCTAAGCTTTGGGAGGAAAGCTTAGGTTGAATAGCTGCATTTTATGGTCTGGTCTGCTAAGGTAAACCAGCCCTAGTTTCCCATTTCCTCACAACAGTGTGCTGCAAATGTGCTATGTGAGGTGCTGCAGTGGGGACAGAAGAGCAAACCCAGGGCACAGCCCTACTTGCGAATCACAGCTCCCAGTTTGAAAAATATTAGTGCTCAAATTACCTTGAAGAGAGAATGAGGCTAAGACCCTGGAGTGCACACAGTTGTTCCTGTTATTTAGTTCAAAACAGTTTCCTGGAAAGCTAGGCGGACATTAGAACACCAAGTCCTTTGTTGTTGATATCTTAATGACCGTATTAACAACTACTGAAAGTGAATGATTTTCTCTTGGACTGGAGGATTTGAAGGTGCCATTTACAAGGGATTTTAAGGATTTGCAAGACTGTTCCTTTCCACTTTCCCCTCACCCATGATGCTGTGAGAGAGCTGGGGAGACCTATGGAAAAAAGTGAAGCTCCTGGAAGAGTAGAGGCTAAAACTGCAACAACATCTCCACCACTCCCCCTTTCCATGCCAAAATGACCCGCACGTTTCTCCATTTTCACTGTACCATAGTGACTGAGCAGCAACAGCCATTGACTTGTCCCACACTAGAGCTACGCATTAAGAGTTTTGAGTCAAGTTTTGCTGTTAGCTGAAATAGCTGTTGTTTGCATGCAGTTTGGCACTGTCAGTGAATGCAATTTATACTGGCCTCATTTATCAGGCAAATCTTTCACGTAACATTAATGTCCTGTTTGAAAGTCAGATTGCTCCTTGCTAACAATCACTAAGCTCTGAGCTAGGCATGCCTGTGTGGAAGCTCTTAGCTTTGTTACTGGCCTTCCACCCTACATGTATACACATTAAAAACAGTGCCAAATTTTCTTGCATCATCTTAGCCATTGCTCTTCACTACAAGTATTTTAAACAAAATATTGCAGAATAGAAATTACATTAAGTGCTCTTCAGTGCCCAGCTAGGCAAGCTTAGCATTCATATGGATAATGCTGACGCCCCTTTGCACAGTGCCTAAAGTCAAATGCCTTTTAAGAGACTTGATAGGAAATACAACTCAAGGGCGACAACGCACTGGTCAAGAGCAACGGTGCTGTTCAGTTGCGTGGGCGGCTCTGTGGGAGATCGGTACCCTGTTCCCTCTCTCACAAGCACATACCTACTTTAGCCGCTAACATGCAAAATCAAGACTTGCTAAATGTGATGTAACAGCAGTGGCAAACTGGTCAGCAAGTTTTATGAATTCCAGTCTAATGCTTGCAGGAACCTTAATTTCCCTGATTATTTCATCTCTTCCTCTTTAAATGAACAAGTCAGTCTGTGTCATGGCATTTACTGGCTACACTAGAAAAAAAAAAATCACGAGAAAACAGACTGCAGGGAATAGTCTGTGAGTGGAGAAATACAAACTTGGCAACCTCTTACAGTATAACTGCCTCCGACTTCTCCATAAACGCATGTAAAACCACATCATAGTCTGCAGTGAATCGAGTTGTGTTAATTTTGTAGCCTCCCCAAAATGCAGACATACAGTCCTTTAGCTTGCTGGGTCCATCACACATTTTAGAGCAAGAGCACAAGTAACTCACATTCTCTTTTCATCCATTTCTCATCCCTTACTTCTCCTTCCACTCTCTCTCCAGGAAGTCACTTCCTTCGCGCGTTCCTTCTATCCATCCCAAATGAGGAAACAAAACATCACTTCTCCTGCTGCTGGGCTGTGACATGTAATTGTAGCATCAACCACCAGCGAACATAAACAAACTTTTCTTTACTTTTGAGCATAGTTCAAGTAAACATGGAAAACAAAGCAGAGAAACGGAGCAGAGTCTGCTCTCCAAACAAGCAAGTGAAGTTCAGTAGCTTAAGAAGACAAAGTTAATATAACAAGAGTGATCACTTTCTGTGTTTGGAGAACTGGTCAGATCTGGCTCCTCCTAGAAGAGTGGTTGATAATTTCTGTTCTATGTGTATTATAAAAATGCTTCCTTAATGTCCACGAGCCCTTCTGTTGCTTGGCTTCCACTGCTCTATCTCTATTACAGTGACTGATCAAAGCATGATTAAATGTACCAAGAAAATATTACACCTGCAAGTTTCACTAATAGTCTGAAACCTTCTGTAATGTCTGTGAACCATAATTTATAATTTTAAATTCTCTTAATTAACATGAATTCTTAGTAAGACCTTTACTCAGCTTTCTCCCACTCTTCACACTTTTTTTTCCTCCCTGTTCATACTCCCATACGTAGCCATGAAGCATTATCCTTGGCATTTATGATTTTTGTCCATGATACAGGCAACCATGATATAAGAGAATAGCCACATATTTTTCAAAACTCATCAGGCAGCTCTGATCATTATGACAAATGGAACCTGGTTTATCTTTCACTTTTGTTCACAGCTGTCTTGTATTACTTTATAGACTGGGGTTAAGGGGGAAGCATCCTCTTTTATGTCAGTCAGGCTAGAAAGCTTCAGAGACTTTGGCTCCTGTAGAGAGACTGCTGTGTGGAACAGAATAAGCCAGTCAGCTACCAGGTATGGAAAAAGCTTCCCAGGAAGCAAATGGGACTAGGCAGTATTTGCTGCCCCTCAGAAACAAACTGAGTTAACTCCCAAGTGGCAGCATACAACCCCGCCAGTAAGGGCAAAGTGGGCTGAACTGCTTAGAAGCCTTTTTATTAAATTCTGCTCTATTTCTATGATATTCTGTATTTCTATTAGTAGCAGCTGTGAGATTGGGTTTTTCCCCCATTTAAAAATGAGAATTATTTTAGTTTGTATTCTAGGAAGACTGAGCATAAAAGCCTTTTAGTCATCTTTGGGAAGCTTGCAATGGGAGAAAAATCAAAGCCTTGGAGCTGTAAATCCTCTCACAAGCATCAGCACCACAAGAAGATAAAAGTTCTCATTTTCAGAATGCTGGATCTTTATTCCGGGAAAGGCTTCTGTTACAAAATAGGCACTCACAAGTTAAGATAATGAAAGCTACTTGTCACTTCTGAAAATTCCATCTGTTCAGTAACTGCAGTGAAACCAAGAACCTTTAAAATGCTTGATTCAAGTAAAAGTGAGTCTTTCCTTGATGACAAAATGGTAAAGAATTTTTTTTTTTTTTCTTCCTAGCTGATCAGGTATCTGCTGCGGGTTTGTTGGGTTTTGTTTGTTTGTTTTATTGTACTATTCAGTTACAGAATTGTAGAAGCTAGATTTACTCTGAGATTACTTGGGTTAAAATTCAGTGGCTTCTGGGGAGCTTTCTGTTTACTTACATTTTGGTTGAGCTTTGCTTTTGGCTTTATTCCTGAAGCTGTTATTATGCCAGCAGTGCTTGCTACAATATCCATTGCAACCCCTTTTCCCATTCTGGTGAAATGGTGAAAAATAAGAGATTTTAACTGAAGAATAAAATCAGCTCTTAAACCAGAAGAAGAATCTACCTCTTCCTGTCTAAACCTGGTCCACATGCTTCACCCAGAGGAGTGTGCTAGAAAGGGATTTTCCCTTATATACGTATGTCAGCCTCAAACTTTTGTGCTGTTCGGTTAGGTACTCACTCTGACAAAAACATGTGCAGATGCAAACGTGTGCCTTAATATGTGGGAACCAGATAAAATTAGAGCAAGATGCGGTTTCAGAGTAAGCAAAACACCGCACAGGTTTCAGGATTTCCTTTATCCACCGTTTTCCATCGTTGCCAATGAGATTAACCATAAGGGCATGGCTACTCCAGTACCTAAGCATTTGTGAACTCAGGCCTGATGATGAAAATCCTAGTTTCATGGAACAAGAATTGGATGATAATTTGTAACTGTAGCAAACAGGCTATTTTGAGTTTTACAACATAGTTGTTGCAAGTACAGATAGCCTTTAAATAAAAATTTTTTTCTTTCTCACTTCACACCCAAAACAGTTTAGGTGCTTGAAAGTTTATTAGTTGGTTTTGCTGTGGGTTTGTTTTTTTTTTTTTTTACCAATTGATCCCATAAAAAAATATTATCTATATCAACTTCATATTGACACACTGCTAATTATTTTAGTTGCTATTCTTCCCTCCCTATTTGATACTTTTATCCGCCTTCACCTCCCCCAGAAAACATCCTTCTTGTGTGTAAAATCTTGATGAAGTCCTAAACACACTGAAAACACTCTGCATACTTTTTAGTAATACTTGTACTTTGATGCATAATATTTAGTCTAGCTTCTTCCAGTTAAATGTAATCAGTTTTATACTTAAATTTGAAAAATGAACCTGCTTTTTTGTGGTAAGAAATGTTTCTTTGATTTCTTACATAAAAACAGCAAATTGCTTGATCCTTTTGGCCTTCAGCTTCCCTTTCTGTAGAAGACAGAACAAGGAACCCTTTCCTTCCTGAGGCACATTTTGAGGACAGGCATTTTCACAGACACTATGGCCTCTGCAGGACAGGAGCTTGCAATCCTTCTCATTCACATGCACTCCCGCCTGCACATCACAGTAGTAAGTGATGTTACAGAAGAGAGGGGGAACAGATAAGTGGATGTGAATTAGAAATTATCAATTGTTCTAATCAGTAGAAGATTTCATCATGTTTCCCGTTTTTGGTCAGTGGCTCTAGCAAAAGTAAATACATTTCATTAAAGTGAGAAGAGCTGAAATCAGTGTAAAAAAAACCGATGCCACACTAATGTCTCACCTCTCATTTCAGCTTAGCACTTAAAAAAAAAAAAAACCCAGACAGTTTGCTCATCTAGACAGACTACCCATAGAGACACAGGCACTCAAGTCCCTTATATTAGACCAATGAACCATACGTGGGTTCCAGGGACTCGAGTACACCAACAGGCTCTAATTGCTCTGACCTGCCTGTAAGGATGTTTCTCTGTAATCTCCTCCTTCTTTTCCCTCTCCTAGAGCAGGGAACATAGCATCATGACAAGCTGCAATTAAAGTGCTACAGATAAAGGAATCATAGGCTGAAGGATGTGCTGAGAATTAGTTAATTCTGCAGAACTACGTTTTCTCTCTCTCAAATATCTGCCTTTAAAACCACAATAAGATTATATATTTTTATGGGAAAAAAAAATCCCAGTAAAAAAAAGAATTTGTTTACAGGCATTTTCAGATAAAATCGAAAGCAATTTAAGCTCAGAAGGAAATGCTGGTTTGTAGCATGCACTTTATACTCTTCACTCCAGACAAAAAAGTTACAGAATAAAAATTACTTGCTGCCAAATAACTTCTTGATGAATGACCATCACTATGGGGAAGGGTACACTTTTGTTTCATTATTAACTTTTTCCTAATCCCTAAATACAGAATTTTCCCCTCATTCTAAGTCTAAATCAGCATTTCATCTCACAAACTGACATTTTCTGGTTGTGGTTTTTTTTTTTTTTAAATACTATTTTATAACCTTCATAACTGAAAGTGTACTACGTTTGTTAAAAATATTACCTCCTTTTCCAAAACACAGTGTGATGCATGTACCCCTAGCACCTTTTACTGAGATTGTTGGAGCTTATCACCACAGCTGTCAAGCTATCACTCACTTGAAGTCCAAGCAGCCAAGCGAAAAGCTGTTTGACTTAAAAGTATAAATAAAAAATAGCCAGTATATTTCTAATGCGGAAATATCATAAAGCTTCCTCCTTTAACCCATGAAAACCACACACACACACACATTTTAACGGGCAAACAAGAGCTATAAATGCAAAAAGAAAAGCACTACAGATTAAATACTGCCATGGTATTCTGTGTGAAGTGCTGAAGTACTCCATGGAAACAGTTGAGGTGAGCACATCCTTTCTTTTTCCTCCCCACACCCCCCAAATCCTTTCCTACATCTGTCTCCTTCTGTTGGGAGGGAGGCTAACATGGGGAACCAGGTGTTTCCACAGACCATGTGTGGCTTGCTCTTCTGCCCTGTAATTTCATAGCTCAGTACTACTCGATTCTGCACTGACTTCTGTTTCACCATGCTTATTCCTCCCGTGGGGCCAGGAATCCCCATTCCCCCCTGTAGTTTCTCCCTCACTGTTTCTAATCCCATTAGCCTGACCCCAGGATATCTCCTTAGGCTCAGTTCAGCTTCATGCCCCAAGGTCATGAGTCATTTTGAGATGGCGGTTTACATGTGAAAGGAGCTATGTGTAATTTCAGATTTCATAGAAGAGAGTCATCTCTCCTTTACCTCCTCATCTATTTCCTGCATCACGCCTCAGGACACAGCCTTCAGAGGTTTCCTTCCCCCCCATGCCGCAGTGGAATTACACAGAAAGGTGTGTGTGTCATCCCTTGCAGGTGGATGGTATTCATGGCTTAATCACTCCTCTCCACCACATCTCTCACTCCTCCCTTTCCCAGTTTGCAGAAAACAGGAATTTCCTTTTGTCCTCCCGTTGCACCATAAAGAGCAGCTTGCTATTTCAGGGGAGAGGAGGGAAACCGAGAACATGTTTCTGTCATGCTTCTTAACCACTGCTTCACTGCAAGCAAAAACTATCATCTTAGCAGGTGGCTTACAATTTTCTGTTTGTAATACCACAGAAGTGTGGCTTTGAATCATCATTTTGATTCTTCTTTCTTCCCATTTATCTAAAAGCCTTTCTGACGCTCCCAGAGATTTTTGCCTCCCACAGCTCTGCACATCCTCAATTAAATCAGAACTACCAAACACAACAAACTAAAAAGATGTCTGTGTTCTGGGGGTACACAGTTTTATGGATCAGTGTTATCCAAAAGGCACTGCTGGCTATAAAGGCACTTTGGATAATCAGTGGGTTTAGTTAACCTTTTCAAGGACTATAAAACATACCTTCTCGCTCTATCTTCCTCACAAA